ATATATATATATATATATATATATATAAAGCTATAAAACTTTGTAATTAGAAAATAAAAAAATCTAAATGGATTATTTTAAAACAATGCAGCAACAACAACATCAGCAATAAATGTGTTGTTATTATTATTATTCATATCAACAACAAGATATATATATACACACACACTTAAAAAAAAATACATATAATAAAATAGAAAATTATTGGTTTTTTTGTATTATTATTATTATTATTATTATTAAACAATAACAGTAATACAATTTTTATAACTTATTTTTATTAGAGTTAGATATAGAATAAATAATGCAGAATAAAATGATATTAAAGTATATATTTTCTTATATATTTTCATATTTAGCTATGCTTGCGGACAAAAAAAAACTTATTTCCTCAAAGTGATCAAATAAATAAATAAAATGCATATTGTTCTTATCACAATAACCAGCTTTTTATTAGCAGGCCATTTACAAATATGCCGAAAATGCTAATTTGCATGCGTTTTACTGATCTAAACCAGCAAAGCCATTGCCTGCAGACATTTAGACAAGATCTTCCTTGTTTTCCCAGAAGTCTCATCTTAATTATAATATTTCAAACTAAGCAGAGCTGAAAAGTGAGAGTTTTGTGGGTGGAAGGATTGAGCGGTGGGGAGGCGGGCGATAGGGTGTAAAGAAAACAACAGCTGAGCCCGGGCATGAAGCACATTGCAGCATGTATTTACATTTGATAAGACTCCCAGCAGGGAGAGATATGACAAGAGACCCAGCATGAAAATAATCATCTCCCATTCAATGCCAAGGGCAGGACGCCAGTCTACCTGATGGACAGGGGCTTATGTCCGTGTACTCACACTCACACACAATGAAGAGCTTGGAGCAGGTAACTGTTGCTACAGTACAGGATCACTTATCATGATAATACTACCGAACATAAAGGATTACACAGCCACCATTAGAAAAACACTTACACAAAAGGTAAACAAGGAATTGATAGGAATTAAATTACACTGAAGGCAGATTTTAAAGGAATTATTCACTGAAAAATGAAACTGTGTCATTATTTAGTCATTATTTTAATTTAATTTCTTTATTTCTTCCATGGGAAAAAAAGAAGCTCAAACAGGTTTGGAATTACATGAGTTACTGAGGACAGAATGCAAATTTTAAAGCAAACCAGTCACTCATTTCTAATGCTGTAATTTCTCTCTCACATCCACACACACATCTGGTCTTCTGAGAGACATATCTCACATTCTAGATCAGTATTAGTGAGGTTAGACCCTGACTGGAGCCCAGAGCAGCATTAATGTTTATGGTGCCTGATGTTCTCAGAGCCACAGTAGTAACCTGGATGAGTGAGAGCCCAAAGGCACAACCACAGCACATAAATCATCCACTATGAGACGTAAAATAAGGATATTTAGTGGAATTAATGTCATAATTACTACACAAAACCCTCGTAGGTCTCTTCAAGCATCTCAATTAAGCCAGGCTTCGATATGTAAGCAAAAATCATCCCACAACTCCTTTGTTTAATAAAATATGGGGTCTCCTATGACAGACGATTATTAGGAATGCAGGCAGATCCGTTTGTGATTTGTGCCCTGATTTTAAACTTCTCAACTCAGGTGCACTGGAGTCCAATTATTATAAATATTCTGTGTGGGACTATTCAAAAGGGCATGAATATTTAAAGATGATCATTTAGATAAATAGTTGAATAGTGCAGGCTGGGAACAGAAAGCTAGCAATATATTGAGAAGGAACCAGATAAGTTAGCCATGCTGAGAGGATTTATGCGTGTTTTCAAATGGAAAATTTCAGAATATGTGCTCATCTGTAATTTATGTCTAAAATGTTCCCCGTCAGATGGTAGAGCAACATTCTGCAGATGTTTTCATGAAAGTTTTTTTTTATTTATTATTATTATTTTTTATGATTTACATATGGTACATTGATGCTCTGCAGTAATGATGTGGAAAATTAAACTTTTCCACCAAAGGTTATTTTATATCATGTATTTATTTTATATATTTTACTACAGTAAAATATAAAAAAATAAAAAAATAAAAAAATTGTACATCACGTTTTTTGATCAAATAAAGGTAGTCTTGGTGAGTGAAAAACTTTTGAATGGCAGAATAAATCTAATTTTAAAACATCATCTTGTTGGATTTTTATGATATATTCCAGGTGAAATAGGGATTTCAATAAAAGAAAATGAAGAGTGGGACTTGATGTTATCCATCTGTAACTGATTGGATACTGAAAATACATACCAAAATGAAGATCAGAAAAAGTAATTTCAGAGGTGGAGCAAGTTAACACATTTTGTAAAAAAAAAATATATTTTTTTTTTTAAGTTTTTTTTTTTATGTTTGAACTAACGTGCACAGAATCATGGACAACGAGACAACACACAAGGTTGTAAATAGGTTGAATTCTGATTACACATTGACTTAAAGACATACATGTACTTGCTGTGGTACAGTAAAATGCACCACCATTAGGATGTTACCATCCATCCACCAATGCCAGAAAGAGAAGTATAAAAAATGAAAAGTGAGAGAGTGAGCAAAGTAAGATGAGGGTTAGACCCCTGGCCTTGGGGCTTGTAGTTGGCCATTGTGTGACTTTATTGGCAGTCAGCTCTGGGTTTTTATGAAGCTCTGGGGATGAATGCAGGAGCCTATCTGCTGATTAGTGATGCACTAAAGAACAGAAAGGGAACAGAAGGATAAATGACTACATGTGTGCCCCCAGCCCGCTAGTCTGACTGTCTCTAAAACTAATGATGATGAGATATGAGTGTGGGGAAAGGACAGAGAATACGAGGATGGGGGAGGACTTACAGAGACAGAAAAAAGAGAGAGAAAGAAAACGAGATGCAGAAGATATAACTGACAATGAGAAAGTGAAAAGAGAGAATAATACAAGAGATGATGGATGATTTAAACAAAACAAAAAAAAACTTGATCTATGATATTTGACCATTACTCAGAATGAAAAGGATTGGTTAAATAGCACATTTAATTCAACAAGACCAAAAACAAGGTTGTGAGGAACAGAGGTAGCCTACAGTCCATTCAATACGTCAAAGCTAAGAAACATTCTTTCTATGAATTTCCAGTGGACAAAAAATGCTTTTAAGAATTAGATGTTCACCTTAAGCAGCAACTGTTTAACTCGAAGGTCTGTCCCATTGTCCAAAAAAATTATTAAATAAAATATTTCTTCAAGCATTTCCGCTGACAAAGCAGAACTTTCAGAACTTTCAAAAAAAGCTATGTTCTAACTTCTTCAATAAAAACAAAAGGTGTTGAGGGAAAATATTTAAAAGAAGAAATATTATTTATTAAAGAATGTATTTTAATTTAAATTAAGTCATGAAAATTCTGTGAAAACGTTTATGGTACATTTCTGTCATCATTTACTCATTCTCATGCCATTCTAAACCTGTATAACTTCTACAGAACACAAACAAATATATATA